CTTTTCACCCACGAGTACTCCCAAGTCCTTCTTGGCAGGGTTGCTGTCAATCCCTTCATCCCCCAGCCTGTACTGATATTGGTGGGTGCCCTGACACAGATGGAGGACCTTGCCCTTGGCCTAGTTGAACCTCATGAGGTTCACGCAGGCCAACTTCTGGAGCTTGTCCAGGTACCTCTGGATGGCATACCATCTTTCTGGTGTGTCAACTGCACCACTCATCTTGGTGTCATCTGCAAACTTACAATTGACTTCCTTTACTTCTCCAAGTGCTAGAAATGTGACACCAATAGAAGTTCTGTTTTGATATCTTTAACATCAGCAACTTCTATAGTTAAGCTTGTGAGGGCAGTCAAAATATAATTTTGGTCTCCCCTGTTCCCGGCAGACTACTCAGCACCTCCATTGGGTCTTTCCACCTGGTTTTGTTCTTTGAAAATACTGACTTCATCTGCTTAATATTCCCGTGTTATGGTTATTCACAGAATCACAGAATCATGGAAAGATTTGGATTGGAAGCGACCTTAAAGATCATCTAGTTCAAAGGGTCACCTTCCACTAGATCAGGTTGCTCAAAGCTACATCCAGACTGGCCTTGAACACTTCCAGGGAGGGGGCAGCCACAGCTTCTCTGGGCAACCTGTGCCAGTGCCTCACCACCCTCGTAGTATAGAATTTCATTATTATATCTAATCTAAATCTACTCTCTTCTAGTTTAAAGCCATTGCCCCTTGTTCCATCCCTACATGCCCTTGTAAAAAGTCCCTCTCCAGCTTTCCTCTAGGCCCCCTTTAAGTACTGAACGTCCACAATAAGGTCTCCCCGGAACCTTCTCTTCTCCAGGCTGAATAGCCCGAGCTCTCTCACCCTTTCCTCAGAGCAGAGGTGTTCCAGCCCTCTGATCATTTTTGTGGCCCTCCTCTGGACCTGCTCCAACAGGTCCATGTTATTGTAACTACATTGCCTCCGGTATGTGCATATTTGTTGATAATGGGTAAGGATCAAGGAAGGACATATGTCTGATACCCACTACAGAAATGCTTCACGAGCTCCCAGTGTTGATTAGCACAAGATAAATGTTGTCTACCTTGACTTCAGCAAGGCTTTTGACCCTGTCTCCCATAACATCCTCATAGGGAAGCTCAGGAAGTGTGAGCTAGATGAGTGGTCGGTGAGATGGATTGAGAACTGGCTGAATGGCAGAGCTCAGAATGTTGTCATCAGTTGCGCAGAGTCTAGTTGGAGGCCTGTAACTAGTGGTGTCCCCCAGGGGTCAGTACTGGGCCCTGTCTTATTGAAATTACTCATCAATGACCTGGATGAAGAGTTAGAGTGTACCCTCAGCAAGTTTGCTGATGATACAAAGCTAGGAGGAGTGGTGGATACACTGGAAGGCTGTGCTGCCATTCAGTGAGACCCGGACAGGCTGGAGAGTTGGGAGCAGAGGAATCTGATGAAGTTCCACAAGGGCCAGTGCAGCGTTCTGCACCTGGGAAGGAACAACCCAGTGCTCAAGTAGAGGCTCAGGGCGGACCTGCTGGAAAGCAAGGATTCAATACCCGCCTGGACAAGGTCTTGTGCAGCCTCCTTTAGGTGACCCTGCTTCAGCAGGGGGCTTGGAGTAGATGATCCACAGAGGTCCCTTCTAACCCCAAACATTCTGTGATTCTGTGATTCTGTGAGTGAATATATGAATATTGATCTAAATAATTTCATAATTAGACATTCCTCTTTAAGAACGTGTAGAGCAGATACTTTACTACTGCTTTAATTTTTAACAGAACAAAAGATGGGGGGACTTAAAAAAAATAAAAACTTAAAACATAAAATTATAAATATTTAAGGACTGTCTTACAGAACATAAGAGCAACACTTAGATCCAATACGATGAGGGAAAATCAGCATTTGCAGGTAACTCCTGCAGAAACCTACCTACTGTTCCTTGTCTTTACGTGATTTAGTGGCCTTGCAGTTTACATACTATCATCTGTTCATCCATTACCATTACGTCTGAGACAAAGCTAAAAGAGACTATGCAGAATTTCCAAGTTTTTGTGTAGATATGAAATAAAAGTTTGGGCACTCACTCCAGATTCAATATGACAGCAAATTTACTGCAATCAGATTAGTTTCCAGATAAGAACAATTGATAAAAACAATGTTATTTGTTTACCACAACCACACTAAACACATAAGCTCTCTTTATTCATTAAGTGAATGGCTATACTATCATAAGATCAGTGTGTCTTCAGACCATTCAATATATGTCATTTTATGCATCTAATTTAAAACCAAATGCTATTATAATGATTCTGTAGTTCACAGGGGTATTATTATGCATTAATTTGCGTTTTGGAAACATCATGGATAAGGTTCAATTCTGCTTGGTACTGCAAAAGTGTATTAAAACCAGAGAAAGAGAAAAAGAGAGAGAGAAGGAAAAAGTGAGACAGAAAGGGGAAAAACATCCACACTAACCAAAAAAGGACAATATATCTTTACCCATAAAGGCAAGTTTCTAAAATTGCTTTCCATTTGGTTAAACACTTAGGTCCATACGTATTTTGAATAACATACAAGAATTTATGAAGAAAAAATTTCAAAAATGAATTAATAGTTTCAGAATTATCTGTCAGTACAGCACGGAGTAAACATAATCTGTTCTTATACAAATATAATTACTGAAGTTTCTTTGTTCACATTCATTTATTCATTTTCAAATCGAACTTTTTTTTGAAAATAAAATAAAAATCTATCAGAGAAATATCAGACTTACTCTCATAGTGAATCAGGAAACCAACACTGGAACGACTGTTGTCCGTAGTGAACAGTAGATACATGTAATTTCCAGTACTGATAAGGAACTGGGGTGCTTGTGTGCCATGGTATTCTCCAATTAATGGTGATGAGTTAGCTGGCCCATCTCTGACTTCCAAAGTGTCATAATTAACTTCTGTCTGAAACCTGAAAAGGAATATACAAGTCAGCTGGTAGGTAAAGGAAAGGTGTTATTTTCTTTAACTTTTAGAAATGCAACCCATGTACAACTGATCATAAGTATCATACATATGAAAATTTGCAGCTCTATGGATCCATCGGTGTATTACTAAGGATAACAACTAAAGAAAGACTTTATGCATCTTTATCCTTGCTTTGTTGTGTCTGCTATCATAGAAAATTCATAAGGGATGTAATATACTTCAGATCAACCATATGATTGGGTTTCAGAAAGACATTTAGTGGGGAATCTGGGTACAAAAAATTAAAATGTCTCATAGAAAACTGCATCATGAAGATCCAAGAAATTTCTTGCCCTCAGGCTAAATAATAATTGGACATCTTAGGAACATCTTAAACAATATTTTATTATTTCATCTCAATAATTTCATTATTTGATAATTCCTATTTGGCAAAAGCTCTTTTACATATTCAACTGTAACTTTTTATTCAAAGATTTTTTCCTAACATAGCTTGATACTTTACTTTTAAATAATTATTTTTGTCTTATGAAGTAAAGCCATACAAAAATACTAAACATAAATCATGTCCTCATTTTGAAATTTGTTAGTTATAATAAGCAGAATACCTTAGCTTATCTCAATGTGTCAAAAAAATCAGACAATATAGACAAGAATGGAAAAAGAGGAGACTAATGAAATAGTAGATTTACAAGAACGAATAACTTTAAAATCAACAGCATAGTCAATGTTTGTGTCAATCACTAAATCACATTACATTTCTCCAGTTCATAACGGATTTCTATGTGTGCAGTCATCCACCACTAGTTCTCCTTAAGTCAAAAAGCTCAAATCTGCTTTTCTGTAGATGAAACTTGGACTGGCATTTTTCACATCAGATGCTTTTCCAGATAATTTCTAGTTATCAGAGTATCACAGAATCACAGAATGGTATGGATTGGAAGGGACTTCTGGGGATCATCTAGTCCAACCTCCCTGCCGAAGCAAGGTCACCTACAGCAGGCTGTACAGGACCTTGTCCAGGTGGGTCTTGAATATCTCCAGAGGAGTAGAATCCACAACCTCTCTCGGCAACATTGTTCCAGTGCTCCATCACCCTCAGAGGGAAGAAGTTCTTCCTCATGTTCAGACGGAACTTCCTATGCTTCAGTATGTGCCTGCTGCCCCTTGTCCTGTCGCTGGGCACCACTGAAAAGAGTTTGGCCCCATCCTCCTGACCCTTCTGAAGGTGGGTACCCTTCAGATATTTATAAGCATTTCTAAGGTCCCCTCTCAGCTTTCTCTTCTTCAGGCTAAACCAGCCCAGCTCCCTCAGTCTTTCCTCACCAGAGAGATGCTCCAGTCCTATAATCATTTTTGTAGCCTTCCACTGGACTCTCTCCAGTAGCTCCTCATCTTGCTTGAAATGGGGAGCCCAGAACTGGACACAGTACTCCAGATGGGGCCTCCCTAGGGCAGTGTAGAGGGGAAGGAGAACCTCCCTCGACCTGCTGGTCACACTCTTCCTAATGCAACCCCGGATCCCATTGGCCTGCTTGGCAATGAGGGGACACTGCTGGCTCATGGTTAACCTGTCGTCCACCTGGACACCCAGGTCCCTCTCCACAGAGCTGCTCTCCAGCAGGTCCGCCCTGAGCCTGTACTGGTGCATGGGGTTGTTCTTCTCCAGGTGCAGGACCCTGCACTTGCTCTTGTGGAACTTCATCAGGTTCCTCTGCGCCCAACTCTCCAGCCTATCCAGGTCTCACTGAATGGCAGTACAGCCTTCCAGTGTATCCACCACCCCTCCTAGCTTTGTGTCATCAGCAAACTTGCTGAGGGTACACTTGTACACACTTATATGAGATACTGTTACAAACCGCAGCTTCTAAACCACGCACATGAATTTTCCTATCAACAAAGTTTGTGCTGTTACACAGACATCTATACTGGTCTAAACATGTTCGCCCGCAAACCCAATATTCTTGTTTTCAGAAGTTGTTAATCTTTCAGAAATGCATACGTTCTGAGATTTTCTCTTCTTTTCCCATAAGGCTTATTAGTTCCACTTCTGAGAGCAATAAACTGCGTCCCTACACAATACGACACTTTATTCAAAGTGAATGCCCTTAAGTCTTGCCAATACATGACACGTTTAGTAAGTCTGTAGACAATAAATTGTGTTCTTGCAATTAAAGAAAACTGAAAGTTATTAAACATTTGGAAAAGAGGAGATATATAGGACATTCCTTCAAAGTGTAAATAAATGTCATAGTTTGTTAGGTAATGATGACTGAATGAAAAAGTTCCCCAGCCAGGCCATCTTATTTTACAGACCAATTAGCATTGGTCATGTAAAATCATCTCCACAGACACCTCAGTGTCAGTAACAATAAGTTCGGATTTAGCAAGCGTTTAGTAGTCTCTATAGTTCTTCTGTCTTGATTTCCTGAAAACAAAAGCATATTCACAAGTCGGAAAGTATTTGTTTGCTTAACTATCAGAGATAATGACTCCTTGGAAACCAACTTAAGCCCCTCATTTTGTTCCTTCATCTTTCACAGAAAACTCTCCAAATTTATGGTGCTTTCAACCAAGCTACCTACTTTATCTGCCCACTCTGACAGTGGAATACAGGGCTTGCAGGCTTGCTAATACATTAAGCCTTTTCAAGACCAGCTTCTGGCGGTGAAGCCAGTAAGCATGGAAGAGCCTGTATCCATACTATTAAATACATCCTTTTGCCTCTCAAATAGGGAGACATTATTCAGATTTCCTATTATGAATGGGTGCTTGCCCACACTAACTCCTGCCCATGCTTGATAATTATTTGGGAGAATGTTAGTTGGCAAGCACAAGTATGTTAGAGACTATTTCAACAATTTAACTGCACAAACACATGAGTTCCTGTGTCTGGGAAGGTTCTCTGGTTCTGTTTAATTTATTGAAATAGACAATCACAGAGGGCATCACTAAAGTACTTGACAGTTTTTCAGTACCTTTCCATAATTTCAGAGATTATACATTGATTTACCCTGCAGCGGAATGAGGAAAACAGACAAAAACCACTAGCCTAGTTTAAATACTTCATTTTCACTCATAATGAATGGACTCAAGATCAATAATTCAATAGTTTAATTATTTTGACAGTTATGTTTATGAGGGAAACTAATTAGGAATACAGCGCTCTCAGCCAGTAATTGCAGTTTTCTTAGCAGGGTGGTATGACATTGGTGTATTGCAAACCCTTGCTGGTGACAAACAAAATAACTCTTACAGGAATTGCTACCCACTAAAATGATCTTTATTCCCAGTAGGTTCTTGTTCCTCTCAAACTTAGAAATTTATTTTGAGTTCACTTGTCTGGTTTTGAGGGTTTGGGGGGAATTGTCTTTCGGGTTGGAGGGCATTTTTGCAATCTTTGCACTGTCACTGAAATGATAAATCAAGATAATTTATTGTTCGAAATTCTGCATCCTTACTGAAAGCACTTAATTATGGTGTACTTTTGGTTTTTTTTTTTTATTTTCTCTTAATGTTTATTAGTGTACTTATGTAAGTAAAAGGTAGGACATTCTCCAAATGTTCACAGAAAATTTTAAAAAGGCTTCAATAATGCTGTTATATGATTCTTCATATACAGTTAGGTAGGTTTCGAATAAGGAGGTTTGTTTTATATACCATCCAATGAATTTTCATGGGTATTCAAAGTACCCAAAATCTTCCAATCAGCAGATATCCTTCTAGCCCCTTTCCTTAGGGCTTGAATCAATTAGATATTACATTTTTCTTACCCTTCCAGGCATTAGTGATGATCTGAAATGCAAAATGTTTGAATGGAAAATGTTCATCGGGTTACTCCATTATTCGCTGCTGTTTCTGGAAAGTTTCTTAGTACTCTGGTAATGCACATTTATCTAGCAAGATTAAAGCTTCATTAGCTCAAGAGTGAGATAATTTACATTATAAATATCACATTTAAGCAAAGTTTCATTCTGGCAGCTGTATCTGTGATGGCAAGTCAGATAGCAAAGTACAGAAGGGTTCTGTTTTCCCCAAACTACATAAAATAGTTGACAAAATATTGCAGTTGCCAATTAACTGACCAAATTAATCAGTTTTTCTTCTTTATTTATTTATGTTGATTTTGTTTACTAATTTGTAATTTTCTAATGCTATATCAGACAGCAGAGTTAGTTTCTTGTAAGTAATAAAAAGGTTTTCCATCCAATTTTTGGTCTGGGTAGCAAAGCCTTCATGTTAACAAAAGAAAATAACTTTATTGCAAAAGGGAGTTTATTATACTATCATTAACTTCCCAAAGTATAACACATTTAATGACCTTTATCATGTGATGTAGTAGAGCTATACCATTTTCTAAACCTGTCAGGAAAGCTCCATAAACCTCCAAAAAAAGTAAGGAAAGGTTTCTTCTCTGTATACCAAACCCAGTGTGCTTAATGGTAGTACTGTTTTGTAACTGAAACATTTAGGGCAAGGAGACAGAATCCTTCTGCTAACAATGCTGACATAAAGCTGGAGCAGATTAATTGACTGTCTGCTGTACTTCAAAAACTATACGTGATCAGAATTCTCCATTTTTTATCAGGGTAAACTCCAAGTTCTTGTTTAATTTCACTGCAGTTCCATTTGTACACAAAGCTCTAGAATTATGTTAATGCAATATGTGCATGCATCTGTCTAAAATTCAGTAAATTTAGTTCTTAAACTGGGCCATATGCCACAGGAGCCTATGTTTCCCATTAATTTCCTCAGAAATCTAGTGGTCATATTGTTAAGATCATAGTCAGTCATCCTAACGACAACAACTTCTGGCAAAGCATTTCCTTCTATAAAATAAAAAAAACTCCATGTTACAACTAATATGGCTGTTTGGTTTTGTTGCATTTGGGAAGGCATTGCTGAACATCAGGCTTTCAGATCCTTAATTAAAAATAAAACAACTGGCAAATAAATATAAGATTATAATATACTAAGTTTTTAAAGAGGAAAAAAAAAATCAGCAACTTAAAATCCTGGAACTTCCTGCTCAATGGAAGGAAAGCAAATGACCTTTTGTTGTAAGACGTAACATGATAATTTTATGAAAACTGTTTAAGCGGTTCCCATTTTTCTCTGGTATTCGTCATTCTCTCCTTTGACCCCGTCCTTAATGCATTTATAATAAGAAAACAAAACAAGGCTGGAAAAAGGATATGGTAAACTAAATATACAACCTATATTAATCTTCTCTCCTGTATTATGTTTATGCCTCTAGTCACGTTCCCAGATATCTTCTATGCATGTGTCAGTTTTCACTCATACTTCTTGACAAAGGCTTACCAGAACTTTAGCAGCTCAGTGGTCAGTGCAAATTCAAAATGCATCATTTTCTATGTCAAAGTGGAATTCTTTTTCTTATATGATTCACTTTGCATTTACTTAATCTATCTGCAATTTTGTTGCCTAGACATCCAGTTGTGTATCGTCAGAAATTCTTCAGTCGTCCCTTGTTTTTAACATTCTTAATAGCTTAGTATTATTAGCCTAAATTTCTTCTTTTTAAAATCATTTCAGAATATGCTGAACAATTTTGAACACCCAAAATTCCACTGTGAGACTTTTATCATCTGTTAGGTTTTTATTCATGCAATGTCCTTCCTTGTATTAATATGATGCTTAGTTTTTTAATAGCCCTTTGCAGAGTAAGGTGCAAAATACAAAATTTGCATTTTGAAAACCAAGGTAAACTATATCCAACATATTTCTATGCTTTCTGAAACTATGAAAGAATTCCAATAGGTTTCTGAGACAGGATTTCTTTTACATATCGACACTTCCTCAGTATATAATTTTTATCCACGGTTCCACTAGTGCTACACTTTGTTATAGCTTTCATAGTGGGCATCCAGCATGCAGCTCCTTAGAGCTCCATGAAAGACTTAAAAGATACAGTTCCTGAAGTGCACAGGTCTCAAGACAGTTTTAAAAGAACAGTTACAGTTGCACACAATTTTCAATTGTTTAGCCATCTGATCTTTGTACTCATTCAGGACTCCTGGGTGAATGCTGTCTAGTTTTGGTGACTTGCTATTCGCTTTGTCTGCGTATGCCACCACCCCTTCAGACTGAGAAGATATGCTAATGAGTTCCCCAAAACGAAGAATGTTGTGAATGTTAAGTTTACACGGGTGCAAGAGGGAAACAAACAAATCAACGGAAGTAATACATGCAGAAACTCACTAAGCACATTTTAAAAACCACCTTTCAGTTCAGGAATGTCCTGGGCTGCAAACTGGAGAAGTACTTAGAGGAAATATTAAACAAACTTATCTGGTCCTTACACTCTTCCCTAGGATTCTGCATTTTTGTTCCTGTAAGGAACACAATATTGAGCAAGATGGATCTTTGATTTGACCCAGTAACAGTCACTTTTATAGTCTTCTGCCCTTCTCTCCATTAATTTTTGACCCTTTTCATTTCTGCTCTTAGAAATAGCAGGCTGAATGATACTGAAAAATTTTGCTCAACACTGTGGACTCCATGCAAAGGTGAAACTAGACACGTATTATTGCCTCTCCTTGGGTAACAGTGGAATACAGCAAGGCCAGTACAGTAGAAAACACTGCAGCCTGGCTTCACTTACTGTCTTTCATACTGTCCTCGGCATCTTTCTCTCAAATGGAGTATTTAGTGGGATATTAGTATCTAGATCAAACACCTAAGCAAGTGGATATTATTACTGATGTTACAAAAACGCTTGAAGGTTGAAGATCTTTTAAATTTTCTTTCCTTTTCTTAAGCACTGTCTTTGCAAGAAACACACAATTTTGTTAGACACTTGTATGAATAGACATAAGTTCTAACTGAGGTCACAATCATTACAAAAGGATTAAACATGCTGCAGTTCACATTCTTTGTGCCTAAATGCACTTTCACTCTCGACTCCACATAAGAGGTAGACTAGGCTAAAAATTATTCACTTTGAGAAACAGATTATTATTCCAAAAGAAACCTGCATTCTACACAGGGACATAATCCCAGTGCATTCCAGTAGCTCTAATTTAGGTCCATACTGAGATAACATTTTTGCAAATTAATTGGGACAATAATCTCTTTTAGATAATCCTTTAAAATGAAGTTTAAGACTCTGTCTTTAACACTATTCTGATGTCTGGACGTCTTTTCCTTCTTGTTTTGATCTCTGTGTCAGTATTCATGGAGAAACCTGTAGTATCGAAATAAACAAAATCCTGACAGCCACTGTGTTAGCATATAGTATACTAATACAGACTAAAGCAGAAACACAGAATCATACAGCATGTGAAGTTGGAAGGGACCCATAAGGATCATCGAGTCCAACTCCCTGCTTCTCACAGGACTAAATCATAAAACTAAACCATATGATTAAGAGCGTCATGCAGATGCTCCTTCAACTCTGACAGACTTGGTGCCATGACAGCTTCCCTGGGGAGCCTGTTCCAGTGACCAACCATCCAGTAGAGAACCTTTTCCTAATGTCCAGTCCGAACGTCCCCTGACGCAGCTTCCTTCCATTTCCTTGTGTCCTACCACCGCTCATCAGAGAGAGATCGGCAGCTCCCCCTCCGCTGCCCCCCGTGAGGAAGGTGTAGGCTGCGATGAGGTCACCACTCAGCCTTCTCTTCTCCAAGCTGAGCAAACCAAGTGATCTCAGCTGCTCCTCCAAAGTCTTGCCCTCGAGGTTTTTCACCATATTGGTGTGGAATTATTAGTAAAATTAAGGTTTACATCTGAAAATTAAAGTTTATATGAAAAACGTAGCATCGTTCACCCATTAAGGAGAAGCATAAAATCAAAAGGAGCTCTGAGGATGGGACACAGCTGCAGCAGGCATGCGAGGAATCCACTAACACAGCAACTCCCTGCAACATACCGTAGAGGATGGAGCGGAGTGGAGATTCCGTGGCCATGCTCTGTGATGATAAAGCGGGAAGAAATGGTCCTCTAGAACTGATGAGCAGCTCATCTGGCCCCCTGAGCCAACAGGTTTTCGAAACCTTGTCAAAATGTTATCCTTTCATGAACTTTGCTTGTTTTAATATCATCTTAATACCAAAACACATCTCCATCCCGAAGGCTACCTGCCTCCAAGGTGCGGCCACTCCTCTTTGAGACTGCGCCCTCAATTTTTTGTAAACTATACCTTTAAATGTGAAGTGAGAGAATTTTAAACCAATCATGGTAAAAGGTATGTATGACTACAGTCACTCAAACGCCACTTTAAATGTAGAAAGGATATAAAAATAGCCAGGGAAATGGGGGATTTTCGGAGAAGAAGATAACTCCGTGAGCAAGTCGAAGGAAACTCCACCTCAGACTGCCTCTGACTACCGGGACTGGCCGGCGGGCTGAGCCTTGCTTCTCCCCCCTTGGGACGCCGTGGGTGAGACTTAAACTAAGCGCTTTTCTTGGGAATCTTAGAAATCTCTCTAGAGAGTTACTCCCTAACATTTATAGCCAGGCTGTATTATTTATACTCTTTTCACGCGTTTTATACTTAATAACATCATATTTGCACGTGCTTTCTTGCAGACAGTCACTATCACCAGCAATTCAAAAAACCTATATATTTATTGCACAAATAAAACTGCACTGTTTAAGTAGCTAGTTGTCCTCAGAATTTAAACCTAGTCGCACCTAGCCTCCCACTCTGGTGAAGAGAGTTAGAAAGCAAGGGGATTTATTTTCTGCTAAATACTCCATCCCTTATAACGCAACACTTGGTCACCATCCTCTGGACACACTCTAATAGTTTGACATCCTTCTTATACTGAGGTGCCCAAAGCTGCCCATAGCACTCGACATGGGGCCGCACCAGTGCAGTGTAGAGTGGGACAATGCCCTCCCTTGACTGGCTGGCGATGTTGTGCTTGACGCACTCCAGGACTTGGTTGGCCCTTTTGGCTGCCAGGGCACACTGCTGGCTCATATTCAGCTTGCCATCAACCCAAACCCCCAGATCTCTCTCTGCAGGGCTGCACTCCAGCCTCTCATCCCCATTTTGTACATATAACCAGGATTACCCTGTCCCAGGTGCAGAATCCAGCACTTGCTTTTGTTAATATTTCATAAGTTTGGTGATTGCCTAGCTCTTCAGTCTATCCAGATCTCTCTGTAAGGCCTCTCTACCCTCAAGGGAGTCCACAGCTTCTCCCAGTTTAGGATCATTGGCAAACTTACTTAAAATACATTAGATTACTGCGTCCAGATCATTCATAAAACATTAAGGAGCACTGGCCCTAAAACTAAGCCCTGTGGAACACTACTGGTGACTGGCCGCCAGCCTGGTGTAACCCCATTTACTAAAGCTCTTTGAGCCTGACCCGTCAGCCAATTGCTCACCCAACATATTATGAAGTTGTCTAGATACACAATGTATGTTGCATCAGAAAAAAGAAAAAGAATCCAAGAAACAATACTCTGCACTTTTTTGACAAATCTTTTTTTTTGGTTTTCCTAGGAAAATTATGATGTCTTATAGAAAGACTTGGTCATCCTCAGGGACAATATATAGTTGCACCTGAATACAAAAGTAGTCAAAAGTCCAAAAGACATTTGTATTTGTGTGTTAGGATGTGGACATTTAATAGAAATTGTTTAAAATATAGACAATGTAAATACAACTTTAAACTTTAATTTTCTGCTTGAGGAATAGTATTGTGAGTGCTGCATCGCTATTGCTTTTTCTGGTTTGGGTTCTTAAAGAATATTTTTCTTCTTCAATGTTAAAACAAATACTTGTACTCCTGCATTACTTTTTGTTTGACTTTGTGATTCTCACCTGTCAAAAGTAATCTTGATGGAATGTCCTGGTTTTGCTTCAATCACCCATTCACAATTAAGAGAGTCTTTATAATATCCTGGCCACCCTGGTGGTAAGATAACACCACTTGATGCTGTCAAATGTCCTCCACATGGTGCTGAAAGAAAAAAGTATGTATACTTGTATCATGCACAGTATTTCTTTTATAATATTATATAATAAAAGAACTTTAAAAAAAGAATTAAAATTCATAGAAAAATAAGTTTCATATACAACTAAATCTTCTACATTATGAGCACTTTGTTTTATTCAGAATCATAAGTCCTGCAATGTATCTTATCATAGCTTATTACTCTGCATATCTCTTCATACATAGAGCATGGCACTTGATTCTGCTAGCCGTCCTGTTGAAATGCACACTATCTCGTAAAAAAATAACGTATCATCATTTTTTAGACCTAGTATGATTCCACATTTATGTGGAAATATCAAATTGTTCCAAGCAATTTATAGTTAATTATTTTCATTGTACTGTGCCATCCAATATCTTTTTGAGTAAATATTCAGCTCAGTGGAACTGATTGTTGTAAATATTCCATTGAATCATAGAATGTTTGAAGTTGGAAGCGACGTCTGGAAATCATTTAATTCCACCCCTGATCAATACAGCAGATTGCACAGGACCATGTCCAGTCAGGATCATGCCCTCCCTCCAAAGGCAGAAACTCCGCAGAGTCTCTGGTTAATCTGTTCCAGTGTTTGATCACTCACAGTGAAGGTTTTTCTTATATTTAAACAGACTTGCTTGTATTGAGTTTGTGTTCATTGCCTCTTGTGCTGTCACTGGACACCACTGAGAAGAGTCTGGCTCCATCTTCTTCACACCATCACATCACATCAGGTTTTTATATTCACCGTGAGGGTGGTGAAACACTGGAACAGGATGCCCAGAGAAACTGTGGATGCCCCCTTCCTGGAAGTATTCAAGGCCAGGTTGGATGGAGCTCTGAGAAACCTGGTGTAGTGGAAGATGTCCCTGCTCATGGCAAGGGGGTTGGAACCAGATGGTCTTTAAGGTCCCTTCCAACCCTTACCATTCTATGATTCTATGATTCTAAGACCCCTCCTAAGCCCTGAGCCTTTTCTTCTCCAGTGTAGACAACCTCAGTTCTATCAGCGTCTCCTTGTATGACAGATGCTTCAAGTCCTTAATCATCTTTGTGATACTTTGCTGGATTCACTGCAGTATGTCCACGTCTCTCTTGTACTGGGGATCCCAGGGCTGCACACAGCACTCCTGACACAGCCTCACCAGTGCTGAATAGGGGGGTAGGATCTGTCATTTCTTCTCAACCCATATCTCTGGCCTTTCTGTCAAAGTCCCTCCGAATAGCAGCACAAGCATATCAGCCACTCCTCCCAGTTTTACATCATCTATAGACTTGCTCAGAGTGCACTCTGTCCCAGCATTCAGTTCACTACCAAAGATTTTAAACAGTGTAGGACCTGGTATTGACCCCTGGGGTATACCACTACGGACTGGCCTCCAGCTGGACTTCATGCCACTGACCACACCCATATGAGCCAAACAGTTCAGTCCGTTTTCAATCCACCTTACTGTTCACTCCTCTAGCCCGTACTTCATCACTTTGTCTATGAGAATCTTATATGATACAGTGCCAAATACCTTATTAAAACTGAGATAAAAAATATCCATTACTGTCCCCCTATCCATCAGCCCTGTCATCTTGTCACAGAAGGCTATAAGGTTGGTCAGGTTTGACTTCCGCTCCATAAATCCGTGCTGATTTCCCCCAATCACCATCTTGTTCTTCATTGTTTGGAAGTTGTTTCCAGGAACATTGCTGCATCACCTTTCCCAGCGATCAAGGTGAGAGCTGCAGTTTCTCAGATCCTCCTGCTTTCCATTCTTGAAGGTAGTAATTTGCTTTCTTAGAGCCCTCAGGTACCTCCCTGCATTAAATAACCTTCCCAAGATGATTGAGAGTAGCCTTGCAATGTCACTGGCTGGCTTCCTGAACATTCTTCGGTGCACCCCATCAGGCCCATTCCCGTATGTCAAATCTGATTAATGTTCTCTAACTTGACCCTCCTCCATAAAAGGGAAAAAAGTATTTCAACAGGGCTATGAAAGCAAAAGGACTAGACAGAGAGCATTTTTCAGAGCAGGATCAGAGGACTTTGGTGCAGGATTAAACAACAGCAGAAATGACTGAACAAAGTTTGGGAAACGTGAGTCCCTTACGACATGAAGTTGTCATAGCACGGGGCTTTGGGATGTTATATTTTACCAAAGGCTATGCAACAGTAAAAGAGGAACACTTTCAGGTCAGGTAAATTTATCTTAGTATCATTTGTATTACCCTCCGTAAGTCAGTGGTATCATTATCAGCAAATTTCATATTGCAGTGCAGGAAATCTTGTCACTTTTCTGCTGTTTCTCTGAGTAGTGACAAGCAAACCTATTATGTCATATGCAAATGAACAGAAACACAAATTTGTGAGTAGTAAATTACTATTCCTAGTTTTGATTCAATGTTTTCAACAAAAAAAAACAAACTTGAACTGAAGTTCGAGAAGTTACTTGATTTCGTTCATGACTTGCACTTGTCTCTGGGAACTTTTTCCAGATTTAAGAAAGCAGCAAAAAAAAAAACCCACAAACCACGAAATGTAGACACTGAATTGTCTCTGGGGCAAAATGACTGACCAGGAAAGCGGCATTTGTGTTACATGTGTATAGTTAATCAAGCATGAAATTTATTCCATAGTGGTATTTTAAATTAAATTTTGTCATATTAAAACAAGAACAACCAGAAGACCACTGATCCTCACCTCATTGTAACACTTCACTTAATTCATGTATTTCAGGTGTTGGTTACAAAGATTGTTAAGTATACAGAGACACAGAGCAGAGCAACGATAACAAAAAACAACAGTTTCTCAGAAATCTGACAACTAGAAGCAAATTAAATTATCTCTAAACTAACTAGCAAGGATGCTTAGTCTGTGTAGTAATTGAAATCCAGAAATTCCTTCAATTATTAGCTGGAAAGAGAATCCACATCAAGAAGGAACACATCCTGAATGTAACTTACAATGACTATCTTTCCTTCTATATCAAAACAAACAATAGGCAAACTCTAAAAAAATAGTCTAATATTTTAATCCTTTCCTCAGTAAAAACTAATCCTGCAACGTTCAAAGAAAGGATAACTGAGCAGTACTTCTATATTTTCTTAAAGCGTCATTTCTGTATTAGTTTTCTCTATAATTTTTTCTCAAAATGCTCATCTTGGGTCTTTTATCTATGTGCTCGGGGAAATAGAATTACACAAGGATTACATTATATACTTTAGCAATTCTGTATAGAGTTTCAAAATCAGAAAACGTCTTTTGATGAAGAACCTCGCACTGCTCCCAGCTTCGGAGTGGCCTGGTGTTGCTCCAGGCAAAAAACCCTGCTCCACTGCACAGCTCATTATATGCCTTAATCATGATAAGAAATCCCGCTAGTGTAACATCTAGATTCAAATACATTACCTCTACGAGGCTGCTAACATGTTTTTTCCAGGATCTCTAAATTTTCTTAGAAATGCACAGTCTTATGAGAACTGAGATGTCAAATTGCCCAAATAACAAAAAACATGAAAGTGGTGCGATCCAGATCCTTAAGTTAATGCAATGACACTGAAATTAATAGAAGTGTGAGATTTACACCAATTAGAAGGTTTGGATTGGCTTCTTAAAAAAAGTATCATTTAACTGAGTGTCTGACTATATATCTATTGTTCACTAAAAGATCTACGATTTTTTGATAATTACATTTAAAAGACACTCTTTTTTTTCTCTCTGTATATCATACTAAAGGGAGACTTAATCTAAAGTATAGCTCATCTTGGTCTGTTTATTCACTCAGGCAAGAACAAGCAAACAGATTTTGAAATTTTGGGGAATACAATGAATATTAAACACAGCTCTGATTTTCACCATATTTCTGAGGAAAAAATGAACTGCAGGTTAATATGTTACATACAGAAACTCAGGTATAATTTCATTTTGAGAAAATTAAAAGTGCAACTTTTTAAAAAGGACTTTTAAATAGAAACTTTACTTCCCTTTCTATGTGGTAGATAATTATGTTCTTCAGTATGCTTCAGCCAAAACTGTTATAACAGCTATAACTCACAACCTGGTAATGATGGTGACAATCAGAACTTGTAAAGAATAGCGACCAGATTTTTAGAATGCTAATTTATTCCAAGAATATAAAAGCAAGCTATCTTGTTTCTGTTATTGTTCTCTCATTTGACTGGAAGTGTTAAAATAAGATGAATTAATAACTTCAGCAAAAGCAGTCTTATTTATGTGTGAAATGTAAAAAGTGAGTGAAATATAAATAGTTTCATTATTCAAACCATAGGTGCAAAGTAAAGATTGTGCCCTTACCTTCACAGCGTGGGACAGTAGAGCTCCATACTACATTTCCATCTTGCATAATACATGTTATGGATTCAGAGCCTTGGGTCTTCACAAAGCCATCATCACAGTGAAAGGAAACAGAACTTCCCAGAAGGAATCTGTCTCCAAAACGTCTACCATTTATAGGAATGCCTGGATCATGGCACTCATTCTGACCAAAGGCTGATAAAAAACATTGTAATAATAAAAGTAATAATAACAACAACAACAATAATAATAGTAATAGTAATAATAATAATAATAATAACAAAATCAACAACTACCCTTCTAAACTTTGTCTCTTTTTTTGGGGGGAGGGTATAACCTTTCAATTGTAATGCAATAATATATAATACAACTTAATTAAAAGTATAGAAAACTCCTCAATAAAAAGTCAACTTTAAATCCAGTAATATTCACACAGATGCAAAATGGTTCAAATTTGGAAGCTATTTAGTTATGTGTGGCTTAGATACACACGAACACTTTGCTTAATTTCCCTCTCGGCAAAATCCAGTTGTTTGCCTCTATCATAATGAGAAGTATGGTTTCACATTGCAGCTAATCTGGCAGAAATACAAGCTACTGCTAAAAATATATGGCCTCTGTCTAGGCTAAACAGAGCAACCCTCCCAGTGGGATGCTTAGGGGAAGGAAGTAGGAAAGACAGGGAAAACCTTTATAGCAAGGCCTGTTGGGGTAGGACAAGGAGTAATGGCTTTAAACTAAGAGAGTGTAGATTTAGACTAGATATAAGGAGGAAATCTTTTACAATAAGGGTGGTGAAGCACTGGAACAGATTGCCCAGAGAGGTAGTGGAGGCCCCATCCCTGGAGACATTCAAGGTCAGGCTGGGCGGGGCTCTGAGCAACCTGGTCTGGCTGAAGATGTCCCTGCTCAGTGCAGGGGAGTTGGGCTAGATGGTCTCTAAAGGTCGCTTCGAACCCAAAGCATTCTATGATTCTATGCTGAGAGCAGCCTGCCTCCATCTGGTGGGGTGGCAACACAGGTGCAACCCACAGGGACCCGCACCTCCACATGCATGGGACCCACACCTCCACATGCATGCATGACCTCATGGGGGGTGTTCTCACCACTATGTGGATCACTGAGTTTCAGAAAGCGGCAGTGCAGGTGCACGTAAAACTAGGGGACCTCTGTGCCTTTCAGGAGGTCTATGCAAGTAAGTGAACCCACTTCAAAGAAAAGGGGTGAGTGTTTGTAACCCATACGTCCTGTGATGGGAAGGCGTGTATGTAAATCTTTGCAGGGCAGGATGAGGAGGATTTAGAGCAGAAAGATATTTACACATTTTTATGTGTTAAGACAAGCAAGGCATCACAAGGAGGCACTAAGTGTGGTCATGGTACAAAGCCTGTCAGAACTCAAGGACTTCAAGCTCTTTTGCATAATATCTAGGTGATCATGACTCGTAGTTTGATCTGTGAGTATTATATTCCTGACTGCATAATTCTCCAACAGAATTCTTCAAATAGAAATAGTAAATATTTTCCTTACTATGGTCTGTCTTTACTTTAGTAAAATAGTATATGGAAAACAATATCTGGACCATCTCAGACAGAAGCAGACCTAGAATTCAGGCCTCTTATTTTCTGATAAACCTTTTGATCTCTGCAGTCTTAGCTAAGGTGAAGATCTCCCTTTTCTCTTCCTGCCACTTTTCAAAGTGCAGTAATTGTGTCTTTCTCCAAAAGTAAAAGAACAATTAAGGCATTTGAGACTTAAAAAGGACTGCAATGCATGAATTCCAGTTTTATGGAATAATACAAGGAAACACCTTGGCCCCGAACAAACACTGTTAATTGCTTATCTTAATTGACACAAGGTAGGAATAGCACAAGATGTGACAAAGATGACTTCATTGTCAATTAACTTCTTCTATAACCTTAGAAGATAATTTCTTCAACTAAGAAGATAATCTCCATATACATAATGTCTCTGAATTATTAACAAAGCTTTTAGGAGAGTTCGCGGTCTATGGCAAATGTAACAATGTTTTCTACATGATCACGATGTTACTAGAGCTTTCAGTTGAGAGTATTTTTGAGTAATATCCTCTCATTTAAACAAAACAACAGATGGCTATCTGCAGCCAGATATTTTTTAGCCTGGTTTCCCAAACAAGAAAGATTTTTGCTTTCAGTAGCTCTCTATATGTATGTGACTGCTAGGTCCACACTTAAAAATTTTTGAACTTCTTGACCAGTTGCAATTAAATTTTGTACATTCTGAAAGATATTACATTCTCAAAATTCATAAAGAAACTGTAGCCAGAGAGAAGAATTAATCTTAAACTGGTGCACTCCTAGAAGAAGGACTTCTGCATGAGATCAGCTATGTTTTTAAACACTAGAAAAAGCACAGAGGGTAACTATTGTATGCATCCCAAAAAAGAGATCCATATACTTAGGGGTCTATATTCTTAGACATCACACTACATCACACTACCTAACTGGAAGATAAAACGCAAAAGCAGAGCAGGTTCCCAGAGTTATTTATTTGCAATTATATTGTAGTTGCTTTTTTACACTTCTGTGCTTTTCAGATTAACATCTCTGTATTTGGATCT